TTTGATTTAGACTCTCCCTCTTGCCTTAGGGCACAACTACTGGGCAAAGTTAAAGAGGACACAAGAATTTGGAACTAGCAAGCTTGCTCAATTTTCCATTTCCATTTGTTTGGGAACATTAATTAGGGGAGCTCACTTTCTAAAATGTTAAAAATAGGAGGCAATGAAATTAACAGCTGTTTGTGTTAGATGTGTTGTCCAAAGCAGTTTTATTAAGATTTTGATCCAGGCACCTCTATTATATTCAGAATTTTTTTGGAGGCTGAAAGGGTTCCAAGTTGGCCAATAAGCACCCAGTAAAGGCACAAATGCAAGGTCTGAATGCAAAGCAAACACTTTAGAAAACAAATGGGAAAACGAATCATGAAGCTGTCTGTACTGTTCTGTGCCTGTTTGTATGAGGATAAGCATTCTTTCTTGGCATTGCTTAATTCACCTTTGGGATGCTGAGTTCCATTTGCTACTGAAGAATGCAAGGCTTTTTTCATCAAGGACATCACAATCACTCAGGCTTTTCTTGGAATTTGGGATGTTGGCCAAGCAGTCTGATTCCTGAAGCAAAAGCTTGACTGCTTCCTGTAAGCTTTCCTTTGTTCCTAAATAACTACTGCCATAAGTGAGTGATATTCAAGTTGCAGAACTGTGTAGCATCAGTTAAATGCACACGCATTCAAAGATGCTCAAGTCCCCTAGTGATTTAAGAAAAAAAAAAAACTTATTGGATCAAAACAGAGACTGGTTGAGAAAACATGTATTGTGCTTAAAAAGGTTGTGCGATTCATGAAAAATACCCTGAGAAATTTGCCATTTATTAGAATATCCAGTCATTAAATTTTATTTCCCTTCTCTTTCTCTGTATGCTGATTGTGTGTTGAGTTGGAGAATTGTCACTCTTGAATTTAAACTGTAGGTTAATGGAGTAAATATTGCAGTCTTATACAGTAACTAAATATTTTCGTGTTAGTTAAAGGTTTTCCTGTCCAGTCGTTATTAGAAAAAATGTTGAGCTTAACTACTCCTAATACTCCAAATTTTAAATCAGTCATATTTCAGTAACTGTTTCCCTGTCTATTTTTTTAAAGATTCATATTGTCTGTAATTTCTCTTTGAAGGATTTTTTGCTCCTTGTAACTTCTGTTCTCTTTCAAATTTCTTTTCAGTGTATAGCCAGTATATGAAACTACTATTCTGTTTTGCTTTGCTTTGTGCATTAATTGAATGTCAGAAGTTGGAAGAAAAAAACTTGCTTTTCAGATGTTAAGAGATAAAATTTGTTCTTTATTATAATTATAATTCTTTTTATTTAAGAATACATTAACATTTCACATTTTCAATACTTTTCTCTTTCTGTTGCTTTCTACCTTGAAAGTTTCATTGATCTCCATAAACATAGGAACTGCAATCTCATGGTAGGATCTAAAACTATGCTTCTAGTTCTAGTTACTTCTATTGATTTTTTTGTTATTGTTGTCTTTCCTGTTTTCAGTTTATAAGCCATTTTCTATTACATGCATTGGGATCATTCTTACTATAAATTTCTCCAATGTCATAAATATATTCTAAAAATTTAGAATAGAATACATAAATATTGAAATTATGAATTGTACACTAAATTGTTTGAAAGGGAAAAGAAGTTTATTCTTATTTTATGTTTAATTAATGATATGAAATATTTGATATTTTAATCAATGCATTTTAAAAATATGACCATCTCATGGAAATTAGATGAAATCATCTGTTATCAGAATTTTAAGATGAAATACTCTTTTTCAGTATCCAGTCAGTTAATGATCCTTCAGTTTATCTTTTGTAGTCCCTTTAAAAACCTGTGATTAAACTTCAAGGCTCATATTTAAATGAAAGATTTTGTGATTTCACTGACTTTTAAGCAACAGGTCTTGCCACTTATACAAATTTTTCAATTAGGCTATTAAGGGCACTCTAAATAATTTCCCTCCCAAATTAACTAGCTTACTAAAATTATACATACTAACCAGCAAACTCACACAGAGTAAGTTAGTGTGCATAAATCTTTTCTGAACATTCAAGTGTTTCATTTAAATAAACTTGCCATTTTTAAAACAAGTCACCAAAGTAGATCAATACAATTATTCCCGTAGTGCAAATAGAAAGGCTGAGGCCCAGAAAAAGAACACATTGTTTTCTGTAATTTCTTAAAAGCATATTATTAAATTCTTAATAAATTTCCCCTTTTTCCCAGTTATTTGCCCAAGGAGGTACATTATGGGCATAAAACAAGGTTCTATTGAAGAATGAATAGTTTGGGAGAGTAGGTATTATTGAGTTAAAGGGTTATTTATTGTTTATTAAAAAAAATTAAATTGCCAAATAGTGAAATTCTTGGGTGATTTACAATAAAACATACTAAAAGATACAATTTTAATAAAAATATATACAAAAATAAATCAAATAAAATGCAAACTAGGCAGCAGCAAGGCAATCATACGAAGCTAAAACAATACAAATGAAAGAATAATTAGAGTGGAGTAAAAAGGTCAGGGGAAATAGACAGATTTTTCACCTTGTGTCAAAATGATCCTCAAGTGGATGCTAGCTGAGCCTCTCTGTAGAGAGAATTCCACAAATCAGATGCTACTGCAATAAAAAAATATTTCTCTTTGTTGAGGCCCACAACAAGCCTTTTGCTGGTGGTGGGGAATTGGAAGAGAGCCTCATTAGGTCTTAAAATCTTATTTTAAGTTAGTTACAGAACGTGCTCCTTCAGCTAATGTGATCCTAAACCATTTAGGGCTTTGAAGAAAACAGGGCTTAACTTTTAATATCCAGAACATGCCACAGAGACTGCTGCCACTGGGGGGAAAGGTAGTGTTTTGGTTCAGGGAATGAACCTTTCCCATATGCAGTTAATCAGTGTGAATTCCACCTTCTTCCACATCTCCACCTTGATTAAACCTGAAATTTTGCTCCACTTTGCTTGTGGCATGCTCTAGTAGTCTTAATGGAATCTGATTATCTTTGAATTTTGAAATATTTGGAGAATCTAAAGGAATATAAAGAACCTGACATCACATGTTGCCCTCAGCCAAGGATGCACATTTTTTTAGCCCAAAAGTCACATGAGACTTTGTGCATCTTCAAAAACATACTCCAAAAGTGGGTGTGGCTAGTTGCTGTTCCTCCGGGAGGAAGAACAGGAATTTGAAAAGATAAAGCTGGTACACTGAGCATTTATTATCAACCTGAACCCGCAAGAGACCAACTTTGGCCTTGCTCTGTCTGGGGAACTTTGTGGCCTGAAAAAGAAAGGCTGGAAAGCCACCTATAGTCCTGGGACACATCTTGCTCCATTCTCGTTATAATCTGGTCTCTGAGGCCCTGTGCTTTGATGATGGATGTATGCTTACTCACTTTTGTCTGATGTTTCTAGCTGTTCCCTGAAAACGTGCAAGGGGCCAATAGAATGGTTTGTTCCCATTCTATCCTCCTACTCCAGTTAAGAATTTTACATAACAAGCAAGAAATATCACATGCATATTAACAGTGTAGTATTATGGTTAAGATGCTGTCCAGGCATTGGGAAAATTCAAGCCCATCCTCAGCCACAAAACTTCATTAGGTTACTTTGGGCCACCCATTCCGTCAGCCCTACCTACCTCACAAGGACCTTATAGTAGGAAAAAGTGGGGGGAAGGAACGTGATGCGCCCGCCTTTCTTTCCTAAGTAAAAGCGGGATAGAAATCTAAAAATTCATTAACAGAAAACACAAGGTCTCCCTTTGATATTCTGCTTTGGAATAAACCTTACTTTACCATGTTTCCCACAGTGCTCATATTTTTCATTTATCGGTTAAGATGGATCATATGCACAAGGGTTAAATGGTCAATTGCTCTCAACAAAACTGAAGGATGATTGTGCATGATTACCTCTTGTTTTCTACTGAGATGGATCACAGGAAGCTTAACAAACCTATCGGAAATAAAACGTGGGTGGCTAAGGCAAACTTAAAAAGCTAAAACAAAGTACAAATTGTTCTAAATTTATGAAGTATGTTGTTCCTCACATTTCATGCCTGGAAGTTATCCTGCATAGATTAATTATGTAACATACATATGAAATGATGTTGCATATACAGAAATATGTATGTGAGATTTGCTGATTCTGCATTTTCTGACAGGCTTATTTTCTGTGCTGAGTCATAAGAATTCACTGTTATGGAGTTACATGGTGTTTGTACCATGGCCCATTAAACTTCTAACCTTGTATCAAAAAATAGGGGAGGGAGAGCAGAAAAAGCTAGGATAACCTACCCAAATTTAAGCCCTTTTGAATGCCACAAATTTCAACTAGAGAAAGAGATTTAGCAATATGTTCAAGATTCCCCACAGAGCTAATAGAACCCAAATAGCTTGATTTTGTCAGATTGCATTGCTGATTACATAATGTTTTTAACTTTACTGAACATTCAGAACAGTCACAGTAGAATACACAAGTATGGCCCAAGTTAAAATCTGGTGCTAGTTCAAAAACTAGAACTCTTAGCTTCCCATCATTATTTCCAATTTCATTGGAGATGGCATGACATGTAACAATGCTGAGTATACTACAGGAAGAGAGAAAAAGCAGTTGGAAACTAGTGGTATATTAATAAAGTTTAGAAACTCAGGTATTAATGTAATTTCACTCATTTCCCTTCATGGATGTGGTCCATCCCAATTGTTTTCAGGCTTTGATTTCTGCACACAACACACTTTGAAGTATGCCAAATGTGATCTTTAATATGCTAAAAGTTGAAGAAAGGAATGACACACAAGGGAGGGGGCACACAGCTTCAAGGATATTAACAGGCCTTCCTCCTCTCCCTATTAACTTGCAAAAATTAATAACAGCACCCAAAGGTGCTTTTTCAAAAGGCAACTGGACTTTGTTTTTCCTTGAAGACGTTTTGCTTTTCATCCAAGGAGCTTCTCCAGTCAGAACCGAAGAAGCTTCCTGGATGAGAAGCAAAACGTCTTCAAGCAAAAAAAAAAATCCAATTGCCTTTTGAAAAAGCACCTTTGGGACAACCACGACCTGAATGACTGAGAATCTCCACAGACATTAATAACAGCACCCAGTCCATTTCCTATTAAACGTTGAACTTGGCAAATGCTGGGGAATTCTCAACCCCATTTCTTTAGCCCAGTACTGTATAAGAAAACAAAGGAAGCCTCGCTGCTTAGAACTCACCATGCCAAAGACCGATTCTCCTTGAACAAGCCATTATTACTTGCATTGAAAAGAAAACGAAAAGTATTTCAGGCACCAAAGGTTCGCGTATCAGTTCCACCTACCAGATTTTAAAGTTAATAGGTGAGCTAGGCGGCTAGCCCCATGCAGTGCAAAAACCAGCTAATATGATTACAACATTATCATGTTATTACTACCGTTATCGTTATTTGAAAGAGAGAAAAAAGAGTCGGCTGGGTTGATCGTCAGTCTCGTTTGTCCCGGTTTGAATGAACGCGGGGCCAACTCGAAAAGAGAAAGCAAGGTCGGAGCGCTGGCAAAGACGGTTCAAACGATCGCCTGGGGATCCGAGGTGAGGTCTTCGGTGGGGTTTATATAACAACAGTACCTGTCGTAAGGGCTTCCTTCCGTGTAGGAGCAAATGATGACGCTGTGGCTGGGGACGACGCTCAGATCGTCCTCCGCCGGCCAGGTGGCGGCGGCGGCGGCCGCCCCCTCGAGGTCCAGGGACTCCCGCCGCGGCTGCTGTAAGGCACTGTAAGGGGAGGCCTCGGCCACAAAGATGTTCCCGCCGGGCATCTCCGGATAGCACTTCTCCAAGTACCTCAACATTTCCTCTTGAGCCACTTTGGGGTCCAGGCCCACGCAGTCCCGCGCGGTGGGGGTGGCGAGTGACTCTTCCTCCCCGCAGGCCCCCTGGGGGTTCGCCTTGCCCAGCTGGCCGTCGCAGGCTTTCAGGGCCAGCTCGTCGCAGCTGCTCTTGCCGGACTCCAGGTCCGAGGGGGTCCTCAGCAATTCCAGGACCTCTTTGTCCTGGGGCTTCTTGCGGCAGCAGCCGCACGGGGGGCGATAAGCGACGTTGGGCCATTTGGTGCAGCCGTCGGTTTTCCTCGTCAGGGCGATAGCGGCGATGCCGGGCAAGCAGATGGCCGGTCCAATAGCCAAAAGTGGGATGTCCCCCAAAGTCTCGCCCTTGATCCCGGAAACGGTGAACATGAAGCCGAATACCAAGAAGACGCTAACCAAAGCCACCACCAGTCCAGTCCGAGGGTTGATGTCGTCGGGTCGCATGGCTTACGAGCGCTCTAGGTCATTGGATCCCGTCGCTCCACGAATAAACGCGGGGAGGGGGGGGCGAGGCGCGGCGGTCTCCAAAGGCGCTCGCAACCTTTACCGGACACTTCGCCTCATTTCATCTCCCCGTCCACTCCCAGCCAGCCTGTCAAAGGAGCGCGCCGTCGCGTGGCCCCAGAATTGGCCGCGGCTCCTGCGAGGCTCCCCTTTCCCCAGTCGCTGCTTTTCCTGCCGCTGCTTTTGAGCGTGGTTGGTGCCGCTCAGCGAGCTGCCTGTTTCCTCGGCAGCCCGAAGGCACGTGAAATCCCGAGGGCTTCTTCGCTCTTCCCGTTTGGATGCCGGGCCAGAGATCAGCGATGCATTAAAAGCAATTGCAAAGATTTTTACCCTAGCAGTTGCCCAATACGCAAGCGAGCGAGGGAATTAGGTAACACACGATTACGTGTGTGGGTCAAAGACTTGGGGTTCGGCCTTGCGTGGATAGGGGAGACGCGACAGCACGTGAAAGCGGCGATCCTCAACTAGTCCGGGTGGAACGCAATGAATTTAATGCGAATTCTCAAAAAAGGGGGTGGAAACCAACCCACGTTTGGGGTTGCCGACTTGCATTCTGCCCCATCAAGAGGAAGAAAACAAAATCGAGCTCTCCCCGCCCCCCTCATCCACCTAAATCCTACCGCCTAAAAATGACCACTTGGGTGTTCAGATCATGGACGAAACAGTTGCAAGGAGGCAAGTCGTAAGAAGGCAAGGCAGACATGGGTCTTCAGGGGCAACAGTCCTCCTTTTCAAGCCGCTACGCAGGCCGTCCACGTGTCGATAGCGAGTGGGTGTCCCGGGCGTGCTCCAGCGCAGTTCGCGACCCGCGCGCGCTTTCCCACGGGGAAGAGCGCGCGCTGCCACGCAAGCAAAACACCAGCACTTTAAGTCCTGCGACTTCTCAGCTCGGCCTTCCCGCTTCCTTACCTCTTCCAAGGCACCCGTGGTGCGCGGAAGAAATGACGGGATGTTTCTTAGGAGGTAGCAGCCGTCGCCTAGAATTTGGGGCGCCAAACCAGCGCCTCAATTTGGGGAAGAGGGAAGCAGTAAAGCGCCAAGTAATAGTAAACGGCAAACAATACTCTGCCTCGTCCCCCCCCCCCCAGAGAGGAGCAGCTTTATTGGGAAGCACGTGAGGCTGTCTTCGTCTGTAGCGCTAATTCGACAGAGAAGAGCTCGACGGTAGTTGTTGTGTTTAGTGATCAACGAGGCAGCAGCTATAATAACAATTCTCAATTTAGGTTTTAAAACAAGCCTGGATAACTGCCGCTCCACCCCTATATATACACTCAGCCACTAGGCGGCGGCCAATAGGATTCAAGTACTAGTTCCCGCTTTTAACACAAGTTAATAAGCATGTAGACAGAAAGTCTGGCCCTTAACTGACAGTCTTATGACTGTTTTTTTCAACATTTCCAAGTAATTCACCTCAATACATTACAGTAGCCATTAGTCTGGTTTCAAAAGTATCTAGGAAAAGAGCGGCCGAATTAAAAAGTGGCGACACATCACATCTAACTATAATAACATTTACTATTCGTGCAGGGGGAAGACTCTGTGGTTAACTCATGCAATATGCCAGTTACCCGGTTTACGTCAAATGGGATGTACTTGGCAGCAATTTTACATAATGTGTGACTTCAGACCTAGGGACTGAGTTTCTGATAAATAGGATGTCATGAAGCGATGTAGTGTTTACAACAACGTAGTTTATGAGCCCACAAATGGACCATTCTGCATTTGGCACTCCTTATAAAAATATTTGTGGGTGAAGTCCCTTTTTAGATGTATGTGTGTCTATGTGTGTGTGAGAGAGGAGCCTCCGGATGAAATCTGAACAATGGTATTGAGAGGAAAAAGAAAATGTCTGGAAAAGAATATTAACTACCAGAAGAAAACATTTTGTTCTTGGAACCAGTATCTCAGATTGGGAACTAAATAGAAATTAATTTTCCCTTTTTATCAAAATGTTATCTTTTTTCTAGCTGTCCAGTACCATTTCCCAATACATCATTGTTTGATACTGTAAGCCAGAATGGAAATTAATGGAATTGTTTGCTTGTTTAGTAAGAGAATTCCTCTTAGGTCAAGTCTCTCTATCACAGTACTATCTATTCTACCTCATAATGGTTCTGCAAGAGCCAAAGTTGGCATCCTTCACATTGCTTGCTATTTTATACTTTTCAGAAAAAAATATATTTGACTGTGGGATTCAAAGAATTGAATTTGGAATCTATTCTATCACTGCTTTATATTGAAACTTGTCTAACATAGATGCCAGGATCACTTCTTAGGTTCTGAGGTTCTATGTAGTTAGGTGATGCGGCCAAGAAGACAGATGGAAAGAGTGAATTATGTGCGTCAAGCATTTTATGCCAGTTTGCTTCAGAACACTCCCCCAAACCAGGTGTTTGCTAGTGTAGTCAAATGTCAGCTACTAGAGGTTTCTCATTTTTTCACAGAGAAAGATAAATACATCTCAAGATCTTGTTTTCAGCAAAACTCACCACAGCAATCTAATGTTTGATACAGATTTGAATGCTTCTTTGTGCCATTGTTTATTTAGCTTTTGGCTCAATAATATAATATGAAAGAAAGCCTGAGGGGGAACTGCACTCTAGAGCAGTGGTTCTCAACCTTTTTAATGCCGCGACCCCCAACCAGTCGTAAGTCGAGGACTACTCAACCGGTCGTAAGTCGAGGACTACTCAACTGGTGCAGCACCGTTTGCAGAATGGGACTTTTGGCAGGCTCAGCAGGGCAGAGACAGCCTGGACAATTCCTATTGGCTTTTGAAAGCCAATAGAATTAGACTCTATTCAAGAGAGTCTATTCTATTGGCTTTCAAAAGCCAATAGAATAAAAGGGAGTAGCACAGCTAAGGAAAAGGGGGAAAAAATGGCTGACTGCGTTGTTTGGCGACCCCTGTGAAATGATCGTTCGACCCCAAATGGGGTCCCGACCCACAGGTTGAGAACCACTGCTCTAGAGAAATCTTTATTGCTTGTGATCAATCATGCAAATTGCAATGAAATTAAAGAAATGTGGGAATTTATATTGGGCTCTAAATGTGAATAAATTGAGACCGTAAATGAAAGGATCATTTGGTTGCAACCAATATATGGCAAGAACAAAAGTACCTGTTTTTTTTTTTTCTCCCAGTGCCACATTTCACTTGAAATGTTCAGGTTCCTTGTCCTACTCCCCAAAAACGTTTTCCCCAAGACTAATCACTGCCAAATTAAGATCCAAATAACTAAAGGAGTAGTTATATTGTTTGATATTAGGTGAAATATTCCTTATTTCAGAATGCCATAATTCTGTAGAATGCAGTTGGAATTCCTTATCTCAAAATCCAGCAGTACCACTGAACTCTAATATTTCCAGAGATTTCCTTTTTATTTGAACTGAAATCTGTAATGAAATTAAGAAAGTAGTCCTCAACTTACTTCATTTAGTGAGGATTTGAAATTACGGTGGCATTGAAAATATTGACTTACAACCGTCAAGCGGTTACAATAGTTGCAGCATTTCTGCAGTTTGTATGATCAACATTCGGGTGCTTGACAAGCGGCATGTATTTACGATGGCTGCAGGGTCCCAGGATCACCTGTGACTTTCCCAGCCAGCTTCTGATAAGCATGCTCAATGGGGGAAGTGAGATCCACTTAATGACCATATGATTCACTTAACTGCAGTGATTCATTTAACAACCATAGCAACAATGAGAATAAAATTGCACACAACTGCCTGGCTGAGCAATGGAAAGTCTTGTCCTAATTATGGTTGTAAGTTGAGGACTATCTGTATTTGGGACAGAAACAAATAATGAATGTGTGTGAGGGGTTGTAAACCATAAGCAGATTGGCCTTTTTTGTTGTGGTTCCCACCATCTGGAATATCATCCCATCAGAAATTAGATTTTCCCTGTCTCTATTGGGCTTCCATAAGACTTGGCTCTGGGGACAAGCTTGGGCCCCTGGGTATATGATAAAGCACATTTCTTGGTTATACTGAGTGGCTGATGATTGCTTGTGGAATTTTTCCTGGGTGCAGTATGTTTTTTGTATAATTTACATCATTTTTAATATTGTTAGCTACCCAAAGTCATGTACTTGAGATATATACATGTAAAAAATGAGGCAGGGGGGGAATAGAATACAGAATAAGAGTTGGAAGGACTTTGGAGGTCTTCCAGTCCAACCCCCTGCTCAAACAGGAGACCCTATCCCATTTGGACAAATGGCTGTCCAATCTTTTCTTTAAAACCTCCATTGTTGGAGGAGAAAAGAAAAAGAAAATATGCAAGCTAGCTACTACCATAACTATCAGGAAAAAGGCATTGTGACTGGCCCCTTAAAAGTATCTGACATGTTTTTGACAGATGTGGAGCCTAGAGTTCATTGGCCTGGTTGATGTACAGCTCAAATTAAAACCTCTACAAGGGCTAGTGTTTCAGTGTGTTTGCAGAAGCTATTAATTCTAACAGCTTCTACTGTCACTTTGCCAATTTTGTTCCATCCATCTTGCAGCACTGCTTCTAACGTGCTTGCTTTTTCACTCACTGGGATGCCCAGTGGTAAACAATGTATGTGCAAGGGAATCTTAACTATTATATCAATAATTCATTCCAAAAAAGTCATTTAAAATTTTTTTTGCATCTAATTCTAAATTATCTAGGATTCATCAGAGGCAAAGACTGTGAGGAACAACATAGCAGGTATGTTAGGAGATCTCATTATGTTGTTACCCCATTGATTTTTTTTATCGTTTGGAGCAAAATTATATGCTTTTCTTCTCCCTAATCATGACCTTAGAGGAAAATATATTCTTATATACAAGTAGTCCTCTACTTACAACTGTTTGTTTAGTGACTGAAAAAAGTAACTTATGAGCGTTTTTCACTATTATGACTGTTGCAGCATCCCCATGATCAGAATTCAGATGCTTGGCAACTGATCATATTTATAATGGTTGCAGTGTCTCCAGATCATGTAATCCCCTTTTGCAACCTTCTGTCAAGCAAAATCAATGGGGAAGCCAGATTCACTTAATAACTGTATTACTAAAGTGATTAATTTAGCAACTCTAGCAAGAAAAGTCAAAAAATTAATTCAACTGTCATGTTTGGCAACAGATATTTTGGGCTCAAATATGGTCATAATCATAGGAACTCTCAGATTTGTTTCATGAGACATACTTTATTCCGTGCCAACATCTTGCTTGTTGGGAAGCAGTATATTACAAGAGGGTTAAATTTTTATATCAGCTGACTTTGTAAAATAAATAATCTGCAGGTTTGTATCAAGGTGTCTTTTTAAATTTACACTTGGTTTATTCAAATTTTATTCCATAACCGCATTTATTCCATTTGTTTGCAGTCCTGCTTTCCATCATGGGCATCAATCTACAAGGAGTGGAGACAAATGCATCATGCTCAAATGTTGTGAGTGTTGTAGTGTACATTATTTTTGTTGTGATATATGACTAATATAAATTATATAATTCACATAATTTGTGAAATGTCATATACCACAAATTGAATTATTTTTGTTTCCAGATTACTAACAGAGCTGTACAAAAGAAGTGATCATATTTACAGTCTGTATGAATGTACTTCCCTTAAAGTTACTGTAGCTGGAGCAATAAAAATTTCATTCTAAGAAAAAATAAATTCCTAATGTGCCTCTATTCATTTTTTCAGTACATGTGATATATATTTGTCTGATGCAATCTTTAAAAAAAAAACAATTTTGGTACCACGAAGGAAACATCTTGTGTAGAAGATGCTGTTCCTTGCATCTGTGATGGTGAAATAACAGCATGTTGGCATTTACAGAGCCAAGCATTTTCCCCACTCTTTTTAATTGTGGTTACATGCAATTACAGCAACTAGACATGGGGGAGAGGAATTGTTTAAAACAGCTATACATGGAGAACAAGAAGCTGAAGCTTTACAAAATGGGGGGAGGAGCCTTATGCTAGGACCATGTGTTTTTGCTAGTGGGCACAAGGCCAACCCATAAGCTATGTAAAATTTCATCCCTGGCAAAGGAAAGATTGCTTTTTCTGCCATTCTGAATATAATGCAGCTGAGCTGCCAAATATAAAAACATTGAAGTGTGCAGAGATGTGGAGTTACCTATGGTGCAGGGCAAAGTTCATGTATGGAAATATTGACTCCATGCTGTGCTGAATTTCTTGAGGAATATAATGATACTCTCCAGTTAGAGAT